CATTAGACTGGTACATCATTTATGTTGTGTGGTTGTGTGTCTTTTAGACTGTGAGCAGTCTCTCTTCAGCTCGAAAATCTGTAAGTGAGATTATTTGTGAGGGCGCAAATTCGAATACGCTGCTCAAATACTCTTACTTACAGATTTTCAAGCAAAAGAGAGACTGCTCGCAGTCTGTATGTCTTTCAGTGTCTGCAAACTTTTCTGTTGTTTTCTGACAGGTTGAATTGAAGGAACAATACTACTAGCAATCGTGAATTCTCTTTTAAGATGTCTGCATGACCTTGCCACGGAATTGATAGTGGGGAAAATAATGTACAAGTCTGACAAACAGTGCAAGTTCTATATTTTGGGGCAAGGGTGCACTTATTTATTTATTTATTATTTTTTATACTTTTGTTAAACTATGTGGCTGCCAATGCATTTGGGATTTGAAATTTGAGGAATACTGGGAAGAGTGTGACCAACTGAGTGACACACATGTTATCATACACACTACATTAATATTAATTTGTCTCCTTCTAGATGCTTTCCTTGACATTGCCTCTTTCAAGCCATGGCACGAATAGATACACTGATTCAGTCACACACTATGTTTTATTGCTCCAGAATGTCTCTCTCAATGCAACCCATGCAGGTGAATAAATTGATGAACTCACCAATGAAAGAAACTTGACCTAATTAAGAGGTCAAGATGTGACCGAAGGAAGTTCTTACTGATTTTTATTTTAATGTGATACTGCTATTTTTAACTCAAAGCCTTCCTCAATGAAGGTCATATGCTCAAATACAGATCAGCTTAACTGATAATAACAGCCTCAATTTCCTGTGATGTCTTAGTGGTTGCATGAGGCCTGATCAATCATAATATTCAGATCAACATGTGAGTTTATTAGATTATTTAAAGGGAAAGATTGGGGTGTCATGGTGCAGGATGCCTTAAAAGCAAAAGATTACACAAACTTGCTCTGCCTGCAGACTCGGCTTAAAGAGCATTAGAATGCAACATTAATATCAATAAAGTCAACGTTTAAACATGTTGAAATGCAAAAAGGTGCTCACTTTACTATTGTCTGTACTATACTTCTGATTCGTTTAGGCAGCAAAATCAACAAAACTTTGCACCGCAGCATGTATATGAATCCTTATATCAAATTCTTATGAGTCTGAATAAAACAGGCATGCCAGGAATAAAAAAATAATGTTAAGTTTTCTTCGTTGGCTATTGTTTGCAGCTCTTATGATTGGTTGAAACCTTTTAACACAAAGAAAATACCCCTTAAAATGGGTATGGATACATTTATTTTTGAAAACATTTTTTTGTTTTTCTGAAAATATGGTTAGAAACTTTTCAAACATACTGAGCTATTCATCTGCTTAACATAGGATGTAACTTTTAATATGGGGTCTGCTTAAATAAACAGGTTTTGCTGTTCACTATAGAAAATGAGTAATTAGGTTTGTATTTTTTTCTGTGTGGGAGGGGAGTATCAAAAATAAGACACAACTCAGTAAGAAGCTATACACAGCTTGAACTTATTGCAATAGTTTTTATTCTTAATACTTTTGAGCACCTTCTATAACGAAAAAAAGAAAAGACTACATTCAGCAGCCGACACCTAAAACCATGAGTGCTTAATTACTAAAATAAGGAAAACTTGCTGGGTCAATAAGAGGTAAACACAACATCAAAAGGTCCTGTGCATCCATCAATGCCTGAAGCTTGAATTATACTGTGGTACTATTTGCATTCAAACCCCTACATTTATTATACATGCAGCAAGCTTATATTATTTAACACAGATAACAAATGTTTGGGGTTGCATTGTTCTTACGTACACATTGTGGTGCAGGATCTGTAAAGGTTAATTATTACAGGTGTATGAGGAAAATATGAGGCTTGGTAAAACCACATAAAGTAAATAATAAACTCCAGATGAGATTATCATACTGTCGTATTTATTTCAACACCGTCTGCAACATGAAAAAACACAAATAACCTTACACAAATAAAGCTTTTACAAGCAAAAATCGTTTGCAGGATACACACTCGGTGATCTTTGTAGTGTTTTAGCCTCGCGAGTAAATAATGCGTTAGTTCGGTGTTTTGCCAATCTTTTTAGAGCAAGAACCTTTCAGAATTCGGCAAAATCCTAGGGTCCATTTTTCTTAAAGGTAAGAAAAGACTTCAAAGCATTCAAAAGAGCGTTTTCCGATTAACTTTACTGAGCAATATTTTTCGCTCGCTGGAATGTTGACAATTACAGTTTAAAAATGGAAGAGGTGGTTTTGTAAACTCAACACTTCCTTCAAAGGCGAATTTTCCCCAGAAATCAAATTCAACTTATGACAAAAAAATAAAAGCAAATCTTTACGAAATTTCGAGATTTCAATGTCAAGAAAACTACAGAGGAACGGCTCCTTACCTCGAGCAACCGGGCCACCGTTGTCTGCACTTATTAAAGAACAACACAAGCTGCACAAAAAACCTTTTTCCCTGACTTGGCGAGTCGACAGATGAAAACAAAGCCCTTCTTTTCTTCACAGGCTGGGAAGCAGAATTTAAAGTTCTGGCGATTCCATATAATCCATTAGGCCATTGTTTGCGAAAGGATTTTTTAACACCGATTTGATTTGCAATGTTTGAAAATTCTGTAAAGATCAAACTTTGGCACATACCGATTTTCACACATGAGTTGATCCGTCAAAACCGTCAATCAAATTGAACTTAAATGGTCTCCTTACTGATTTTCAATCTTGGTGATTAGTGGCTTTAGGAATATTAACCTCGCCGCGAATATTCCGCTTCTATTCACCTCGTGTTCAAGAATATTAAAGTGCTTAATTGTTAATTGTCCAATGTGAAGCACGTTACAAAATATCAGTCGAAGCAGGAAGAGGTGTTTTCCAAATGATTCCTGGTCATGTCCTTGAGAAAAATACTAGAAACCTTTATACGTTTTTTTCCTTCCTTTTTCAACAGAAAATACGTCCACACGGTCGCTTGTACGGTCGTCTTTGTAGTACCCGCATTTGTCCTCTTTCCAGCTGTTCCAACAAAAACGATGGTCCACGCGGTCGCTTTAACTGTATTTCTTCCGTTTCTTGTAAAGGATCCGTTTTTGTAGAAGTTTTAACCAATTTCTATGGTAGGTTCTTCGTTGAAGAAGGACAATTTATCAAGTACACACCCTCCACATCGTCCCTCCACTTAGCAGCCATTTTTTTCATTTATTGACACCGCCTCGCTTTGGCGCGCTGAATCTTCCGGAAGTCAACCAGTTTACCGGAAACTGTTTTCGCATGGTCCGCATAGTTCTAAAAATAACTTTTTTGGGATTAAGATATCCCAAAGGCGTGACTGGGAGTGTCCCTCTCTGTCCTATTATGGCTCTTGCTCAAAATTAAAATCTCTGGATTGATAAAGCATGGAATCCAAAGCCGAGTTGCTCGAAAGACGAATAGAGCAAATCCCTGGTCAGTTACCCTAACAACACATATGCTCTGTTCTCAGTTCACTGAGGATTAAAGTCAAGAGCATATCTATACCATGAGAGCATATCAAGAGCATAGGTCTACCTTTAGAGCATAGTTTATTATAGACTACGAGTAGTCCCCATTTTTCCTCAGGGATAGTAGAGCGAGCGAAACGCGAGCGCGCGTGAAAATCACCCCACGCGAGAAAAGGTGACACGCGGCGAGTCGCCTTTTCTCGCGTGGGTTGATTTTCACGCGCGCTCGCGTTTCGCTCGCTCTACTATCCCTGAGGAAAAATGGGGGCTACTCGTAGTCTGAGTTTCTTAGCGCTCACAAAATTTTGGCCGCCATTTCACTTCGCTTCATAGGGTGCTACGCCGGAGACTGGGAACTGCTAACAAACAAACTTCCAAACAAACTTTGCGACAAATCGAGATCTCAGACGCTCTCACGACAAAAATTGGTAGCTGCCCTGTGCGGGCAGCGATAATAATTTAACAATAAGTTATTACTTTTTTGGCGCAAATTACACGTGAATATGATCAAATGCACCTTAGATTTACATCTAACCTAAATATACAAGCAAATTATTTAACCTAGTCCTATATAAATAAATTAACAGCCGAAAAACTTATAAGAGAAATATTTAAAAATTGTCCTAAAATATAAATTAAAATTAAAAACTAAATCTAAAACTAAAATTCACGAGTAATCTTGCTAAAAAAATAAAAATAACTTTAGCTCTCGATTCATTTAGGAAAGTTTTAAGTGAATTAATTGAAAAAGGTCATGATGTTGTAATAAAGAGGGCATTAGGCACACTCGCTATGAATCCACCACTTTCTTGAACCCTCGTTAAAATAGGTTATTTTATCCTTAATGTTAATATTAGTCTTGCAAATTCTGCACCAAGAACGGAAATCTGCAAGGATAACTTTCCTCGATCCCAACGAATTGTGCTTTAAGGGACTAACCGATGACAGCGAAGATGCAAAACAATTCAGTGGTGATTGCGGCGGTGCTTTTGAAGGGAACATATGTTCAGAATTTTCTGAATCTGGGTGCTTCCTTTTCAGGGGTGAAGTTGGGAGAGCACCATCCACTGATGAACTTGTCTGCTGGGTTTGTGTACTGGTGCCGAGGGAAGTTGTTCTCAGCCTGGATGTGCTATCCTCTTTTGCTCTACTTTCCTCCAAATTCACAATGTTAGAGACATTTAAAACATTGGGTTGACCTCTATCAACTCTCTCTTCCTGCCAGGAATGGGCATTGTCAACTTCAGGATAAGCAGCGATTGTTTTCACCTCATTTGATTGTGCTTCTTGGGCATCAAATTGTTCCAAGCCATCATCATCGTCATCGGACCAGGATACCTCGAAACATGCCTCTAATTCTCTCAATCTTAATTGGTCAACCGTGTATTCCATGCCGTTAGTATAAGGCCTCTCCTGGTCAGCAGTGTGATGGTTGCTAGAATCACTACCACGGGCCAACCCACAAGGATCGCTAGATTCCACTTGGTGAACCGGGTCATGCATCAGATGAGATTGTAATCTTTGAGGACCAGTTTGTTCGCTGGCTTCTGAGCTATCACTTTCAGACCAAGGCGGATCGCAGTAGTGCAGTTGTCGAGTTATGTCTTCCTTCAGTTTTGTCTGCCGCGGTTCAGGACAAGTATGGATAGCTTTCTGCAGGTAGCTTGGATTGTGAATGATTATTACGCGTCGTATACCACGCGTGATGGCTGTATACACATGCTGCCAGTTTTGGTAATGTGGACGCCCTACCACGTATACCAATGTCTCTATCTCAGAGCCCTGATAGAAAAAATAAAATGCTGTATGTAAGATCTTGCAAAACTTTGTGAATTTCAGACTGGGCAAGTTAAATAAGAGGTTTCAAATCTAAATCGGGAAGTTGTCATAAGTAATCATCCAAACGGAAAACTATTGGTAGAATACATGGGCGCACCACTCTGAAGTTTTCCTTAATAATACACTGAGGATACCATACTCTCTAAAAATTATATTTTTCCGTCGTGGGTATGTTCAGAAACAAAAAGGGTTGCTCGGAAGACATACACTTGGAGAAGTAAAAAGAAACTAGACTGTCATCAATGTTGTCATTATATTTTTGTGAACTTTCTTTTCCGAGCTCCTTTCTTTAGTTGATTATTTTGTTAGATCAAAATAGTTGCTATGATGTAGAACTTCAGTCAAGTGTACGAAATAACATACTGTGTAATCATTTTTACCTGGAATGTATGTATGGTTCGTGCCCAAGCATGACACAGTTTGGCAGCCTTTAGTTCTCCAAACCTGATTTTTAGTCTCGTTTTTGGCATCGTTTGACCACTGACCAAGCTGAAGTAAACTTTCTTTTTTCCCCGACTGTCTTGCTCCTCAGTGATATCATGGATGAAGAATATTTCTCCATTGCATAACCTGACAGGCTTCTTTCCATATACGTCATTGCATTCCACATTACGCCTGATACAGATTTTGTCCCCAATTTGATAATCAGGTTTCCTGCTCAAAAGGGAGTGGTTGTTGTAATGGCGAGCACATTGCTCGTTGATGAGATTGCAATCTACATTGCGGAATGCCACAAATTGTGAGGACTTGGGGTCTTGCAATTCCTCTCGTTTCAAGACATCGTTTATAACCTGTTTGACAATGTCTGTCTCTCTCTGTTTGTAACCTCCATATGAGGAACAATCTATTGAATGAAACCTTCTCAAATCATCAAAATGTGGCATCTGTCTGGGAGGCTGTGAAATTTTGACAGCATTTTGAACGATAAGGTCAGAGTCCGAGCGATGATTTGTTTTCAGCGTGACAGCAACACCATGCATTGCAAGTGTTTGGTATACATCACAAAGGAAATTGCCTGGCTCAATAGAGGGCAGCTGCTTTATGTCTCCCAAAAGGATGACTTGCTGCAGCTCTGACCGCTCTTTCAGGCAGCTTAGGAGTTTGGAAAAAACTTTGACTGAGACCAGACTGCACTCATCACACACGAGCAGTCGCACATTGTGGAACTTCCAATCATTTTCTTCCTGAGACTTTTGTTCCCAGTTTATGAAGCTGTATATTACTGAGTGTAGTGTGTATGCTTCAAGCCCAATTCGGCTCCCTAATATTGAAGCAGCTTTGCCAGTTGGAGCTGTCAGTAACACTGCTTCATCAACTTCCTTTTGCTTCTTCTTTATCTTTCTGGTTACCTCCTTTTGGTGGGTTGAATCTTTGTCATGATCAGCTTGCATATTTAGCCCCGAGGAACGGCATGACCTGGCTTCTTCAGGAATATCATCAAGAATTACAGCATGGCTATCATCTAAATCATCAAAGAAATCTTGGAAAACTTCTTTTTTCATCGAATCTTTGTCACCTTGAGTATCCGGAATTAAAGAATGGCATGGCTTGGCTTCTTTGGGAACAGTATCAGCAATACCGGGCATGAGCTGATCATCTACATCATCACAGAATTCTCTGCGAATCTCTTCCTTTTTTCTCTCCAGTGCTTTCAACAAGACTTTTGAGACTACAAACGTCTTGCCACAACCTCCACGCCCGGACATTACAACAACAGGCTTCTCTGTTATCAACTTGGCTGCCTTAATCTGGTCTTCGTCTCCCTCAAATTCCTGCAGTGACCCAACACAGACTTGATTAGAACCATTAATGACATCAACTGAAAATGATTCTATATTACAACGTTATATTTACCATTTTTTTCATGAAAATCTACATTGTAATGAGGCTTTTCGGATTTGTTTAGTAACAAGGGGAATGACCAAAGTACGACTACACTGTGCAAAATCAAATTGGCATTCATTGGCTGAATGGTGCATGCCTTATTTACCTACTTAATTGATGTGCATTTAGTTCGTTGTTTGAGGCATTACATTTTCTTTGAGTTGTTTTTCTACTCATATATTGCACACATTTTAGGCATGCTACTGATGAACAGCTATGACCTATTATGGATATTTCGAGCAACAACAATTGCTGTCTGTCTGGACAAAAGACATTTCGAGTCTCGCGTCACGCAATCGCACGCGTGAGTTTTTAGTGATCAGATTTCATTTTTTTGATTGACAGTTACTCTGATTTTGTAATTCACACGCGGTCGGGTTTTTGTTGTTGTCATGAGTTGTTATCAGAACATGTAAGTTTTAGGAGCCGTAAAATTAAAACCGTGAGTTTATTTAACCGACGAGATATCGTTTGTTGTCTTCGCAACATTTTTTGGCGACCACGAAGGGACAAACCGAGAGACCGTTTTGAAGAGTTACCGGGAGATTCATTCACCGTACGCAAGCACTGTGGTAAGCTTGAATTTTTGATTTGTGATTTCGCCGCTCAAGATGAATGCCGATGCAGAAGAAACTGGCGGTGAAAATGGTCCGGGAACCGAACAGACCGAAAACAAGGACGATGAAGAGAAACTGGAAAGAGAAAAGTGTTATTGGATCTGAAAAAACAAAAGAGACTACGAAAAACCGAGATGACAAAAATTCGCCATCACATGGAGAAGCTTTGCATCACGCCGAAGGATTCGCCGAAGGACGTAGGCGCTATTGAGAAAGATATTGAGCAACTTTGGTCGCTTCTGGAAAGCACACTGGAAATACTGGATGAACTGTGTGTTGTTTATTTGAAAAATGGAGAGGAAGCAAATAAACAGGCGTCTATGGAAGAAGGAAAAACGCTGGAATCGGAAATTCAAACCGCAATTGAAAAGGCACACGAGGCCGTGAAATCACACGCTCAAATTTCTGTCGCGACTGCTTCGCACAGTGAATTTGTCGCTCATTCAAGTCCGCCGATCGTTTTGCAGGGTTCGCTCAACCCAGTTTTGCCTCCAACGCCTTCCCAAAATTCGCACAGCAGTCAAGGAGAAATAAACGTTCCTGAAAGCCCGCAAATCAGTCATTCCGCGAATCATCGCCTGAAGCCATTGAAAGTACCGACGTATGGTGGAGACAAGACGAAATTTGAGGAGTTTTGGGGCTTGTTTGAAAGTCTGGTGGACCAGTCCAAAGAATCAGTCAACCTAAAATGGCGAGATTGAGGCAGAGCTTGTCCGGCAGCGCGCTGGAAGCGATTCGAGGGCTTGGGGTGTCAGAACCAGAATATGAAGAGGCAAAGGAAATCTTGATAGCCAAGTTCGGCGGTCATGGCGGCAACTGCAGGCCTACATGGACCAGCTGGAAAAAATGCCCAAAATGGGAAACAACGACATTCAAGGATTTGAAAAGTTTGCAGATTTAATACGTATTACTGTGGTTAAGCTTTAGGGCCGAGGGGCGCGATGGAGAGCTTGGAGAAGGAACACTTCATAGCCTGTTAGTGAAGAAGCTCGCTGAAGTTCAAGTACAAGGGTACAGCCGTTGGCTACAGAAACAGAGCCGGGAGCGATCTGTTGTAAGTTTGAGGGATTGGCTTAAGGAAGAAGTACACATCCGCGTTGAAGCTAAGGAGATGGCGCATGGCTTATCGGTTACAGAGAAATCTGATGGATGGCAACATTCAAATCGAAATCAAACAATCGAAACAGGCCCAGAAATTTTCACGTCAGATCAGATTTCGCCAGGAGACCACCAGGCTCAGGCCAGCCTACCCGAAAACCGCCGTGTCCGTGCTGTGGTTCCCCGAATCATGGAGTATGGGCCTGCTTGGTTTTCCAACAGAAAAGTTACGATGACAAATGGACACTGGCTAAAGAAAAACGATTGTGTTTCCGGTGTTTAGGTGATGATCACCAGGGAAAGTTCTGTACGAAGTCACAAACCTGCCAAATCAACGGTTGCCGGGGAAATCACCACCGTCTCTTGCATGAGAATCCGCCTGCCACGAACCCACCCATGGGGACTGCTCAACCAGTGATCAGCTCTAACAGCTACCCGTCATTTACTCCATGGGAGGGGCAGTCGGCCCCGTTTTATCACCCGAGGGTGAGGACAGTCGTGCCTCGCGAGCGATGACTACTCACAACCCGAGAAGCCCAAAAGAAGCCTACTCACTGCGTACCGTTCCCGTGTGGGTGAAGGCACAAGGAAAAAAGCTTAAAGTGAATGCAATCCTAGATGATGCCTCAAACGAGACATTCTTGAACGAAGAAGTGGCCGGAGCCCTTGGACTAAAGGAGTCTTATCAAACCGTGAAAGTTCATGTATTGAACAATTCTGTAGAGACGTTTCAGACTATGCCGTTAAAAGTAGAGATCGAAAGTGTTAATGGTCAGTTTACAAAGGAAATTGAAGTTAAGACCTGTCCCCGCAATGTCACTGGAAATTACCAAGTGGAGAATTGGAATGCGAATAAAGGCAAGTGGCCTCACCTTGCACAGTGCGACTTCGCGTCACCAGCAAAAGACGGCTTGGTAGATTTGTTGATCGGTGTTGATAATGCTGACTTGCATTACTCGTTTGCTGATGTACGTGGAAAGGTGGGTGAACCGGTGGCGCGCTTTGGGTCCGCTTTGGGTGGACTTGTATCGGACCTCCAGATGGTAGAGCGGAGACTGGAACAAGAACGCATACAATTCGAACACTGTTTACAAGGGATGTAGGGCCGGTTAGTGTAGCAGGTGGTTGTTGTGATTTAGATGGAACGCTTAGGAGGTTTTGGGAGATCGAGAGTTATGGAACTGAGCTAAATGACCGAGTCGTGTGTACTGCAGAAGAGAGATTGGCCTTAGAAAGGGTTAGCAGCTCAGTCTGCTACAACGGTGAGAGATACAGTGTTGCTGTGCCGTGGAAAGGACAGAGGCCTCAACTTCCCGATAATCGTCAGATGGCAGAATCCCGTCTTCTCAGCACAGAGAAAAAACCTAAAAAGAGAGAATTTGTTGAGAGAGAGTATAAGAAGACCATCGAGACTTATGTGGAGAAGGGGTACCTGCGTAAAGTCCCAGAAAATGAAGCACCGCCCCCTGAAGTTTGGTACCTACCACACTTTCCGATTGTTAGGATGAGCAAGTCTACAACCAAAGTAAGGATAGTCTTTGACTGTTCCGCCAAATACAAAGGAATCGCTCTTAATGATGTCATTCATGCTGGGCCGAAACTTCAGAGAGAACTCTTTGATGTTCTGATCCGCTTCCAGTAACCGGTTGCCCTTGTCTGTGACATTCAAGAGATGTACCTCCAAATAGAAATTGAGTCTGAAGACCGACCGTTGTTTCGAATCCTGTGGCGAGACGGAGAAACAGGCCGCAACCCAGATGTGTATGAATTCTCTAGAGTTGTTTTCGAAGAACTCAGCTCCCTTCAAGCCCAATTCATCGCCCAGGAGAATGCCAGGCGGCACCAAACCGAGTTCCCATTAGCTGCAGAAACTGTCCTTCAGTCCACCTACATGGATGATTCGTTAGACAGTGTTGAGGAGGACGAGAAAGGAGTCGACCTGTATCACCAGCTTAATGCATTGTGGGCAAAAGCAGGCATGCACGCCCGAAAATGGGTGTCGAATTCAGCAACGGTGATGGCAGCCATACCGAGGAGGACCGAGCCACAGAAGTGGACATAAAAGACAGTAAGGATACAGTAACGACAACGCTTGGCTTACAGTGGAACAGCACCGATGATTTATTGGCCGTGCCTGCAACACCCGTGACCGAGGGCTACCCAATTACTAAGAGGAGTGTTTTGAAGAAAATTGCAACTGTTTTTGACCCGCTTGGCCTGATAAGCCCTTTCGTCGTACAAGCGAAGATTATGCTCCAAGAACTGTGGAACCGTGGCTATGACTGGGATGAGGAGGTTCAGGACAAAGTGGCTAATCGTCTTCAGGTCTGGTTCTCACAGCTGTCATGCCTAGAAAAGGTCAAGATTCCACGGTGTCTGCAAAACCAGCAACCAGTCAAGTCGAAGGAGGTGGTGACCTTTGTTGATGCCTCAACACAGGCCTATGGAGCTGCCTCCTACTTACGCTGCAAGTAGTATGAAGATGGTACCGTGTCCGCACAGCTGATAGCTTCTAAGAGTAAGGTTGCCCCGCTTACCCCCATGACCGTGCCAAGGCTGGAATTAATGGGAGCCATAGTGGGTTTAAGGTTAACCCAGTCCGTGTCCAGAGTCCTGGAACTACCCGTGAAAGCAGCGTCGTTATTTTCCGACAGTACAGACGTGCTATGGTGGATTCGTGGAAGAGGCCGAGACTTTCGACCCTTTGTGGCAAACCGTATTGGGGAGATACAGATTAGTACTGAACCAGTACAGTGGCAACATGTCTCCACCGACAAAAATCCTGCAGACCTGTGTTCCCGAGGAACGAGCCCAGCTGAGCTTGCTAAATCCGAACTATGGTGGAATGGCCCGGAATGGCTGATGAAGGAGAAAAGTGAGTGGCCTAAGATGGAGTTAGCCGAAAGCCCGAAAGTGATGCCCGAAATGAAGTCGACAACAAAACAGCAACAGGGTTCTACCACCCTCGTGACAGTGCAAGAAAACCAAGCTCAGAGGGACAAGCCAAGTCAGGGTGGCAGTGTTCCAGTCTGGAGATTGAACCCGAAACGCTTCTCAAGTTGGAGCCGACTGGTGAACCTACAGGCTAGAGTAAGGAGGGCGCTCCACAACATGTTGAAGAGGGGTCCGCGACAGACCAGCAAAGCATTGTCACCGTGTGAAATAAGAGAAGCTGA